ATTTAGACTATCTATTTGTAAACCAGTCAAACTTTAACCAAACCCATATATTAAAAAAAGTAAACTGAACTCTCAAACAATAGAATTTAAAGAAATTTGGGTAACTAGTTTAGAACGCAATTATGGGAACTTACATAAAATTGGAAAATTGTTTTATGTTTGAACCATAGTTCAGAATAAATTCAAAAAATACAGGCAAATAATTACGCGTTTTAGAACTAGAAGACAGAAAGTGTAAGCTTTAGAAATTTGAAGTGAACTTGAACCGGTTGGAAATTAGAGATATTCAAGATTTTATTCATAACCTCAGACACATACAGTGTACAATAGGACAATATAATTATACACATAAGATAATACATGGCGAGACAGGACAGACATAATACAAATACATAGTGTGATATAAAAGACACTTGGTATTGATAAAAGTATTTCATAATTTTCTTTACGAAAATTGATAATTTCATTTGCACTTGTACGTAACATAAAGACAGCAGACCAGTAAATGTGTTCATACTTGGATTAATTATATAACAATATGGTATCAACTTTGGTCTTAGAGCAGAGCAATCAGCATTTTACAGGTAAACAACACATGAAACTCATCATCTATTCTATCTTTACATAAAGTACATATTCTATTTTCTCGCAGAATTCCTGACCATCTCCCAGTCTTAACATGTAACTTCATGTAGCAAAACACAGTTAGGAGTTTGGGCTCGTATTTTGACCCTGATGAATTTTTCAATTATGAAAATTATTTTGCAATAAAATTGAGTTTAGATAGCTGTAGAATGATACAGCCTTCAAAGTGGGTTTATATGAACATCAAGATCGTTTTTTGCATGTTTTATAGGCCATTTTCTTTTTAACAGGTCGTATTTTCACATCAGTACAGACCATAGGTCCAGAAATTATTGTAGTGCTTTCCAACAAGTAATTTTACCCTTGAACTTTTTAATTTTATGGAAAAATGAGGTAAAATGCATGTGGTTTTTATTTAACCTCTTGATAGAAATATGTCAATGGTTTTGGACGAAATTTTGGGGACTTTTGTGACATTATCATCCCCCGTTTTGCAATATTTATTTGTATCTAATAAATGCAGATTAATGCTATGGTTACACCGAAAAGATATTATAATTCACCAGTTTAACTATTGGAAATCAAATCTACGGAAGATGGTGTTTCCATACATATACACAAACCTGACACAAACAATTATCCTTATTTGTTAGAAAGCAAGGAAAAGATGGTGGTTAAAAATTATATGATGTCAATTCTAAGTGTTTTTTTTTCCAAACTGTGTATTGCTACCTCAAGTTCAAATATGGAAGTCTAGAATTTAAATATGATATCTGTCCCTAGGTAATAATCGTAATAAGTATGGTTCCAAACACAACTCCAGTTTAGATAAAGAATAGTATTCACCTCCTGAATGCATTGTGTATCTGTGAGAACCAATGCTTACATCCCAGCTCTTTTGTTCTACCAGGGGTGATCTGTCAGAGCCGGATCACCCCTGCCAGATTACCCTAGCTTGAGTTTCTTTGTTCTGTAACATTTTAGCGGGAATGTCAAATCCACAATAAAACTTAGAAATATTTATACGGAAAAGACTTACTATCAAAATTTGGGTAGAAAAAATCCAGTATCTATGCTGGGAATCGAACTTAAGACCTTTAGTATATAGACACACGAGTCATACCCCTACACCAGGACGACTGGAAACAAACTCTTTATTAATTTAACATATTTAAACATTGTGTTCTGGGCTCATAAAGGGTATATACTATATAGTAATATATAAAGTATATGATAATGATTGTGTGGCGTTTTAAACTAGATTTTATGAAGCGTAAATAGGTTTTTATCTAATCCTGAACAGCTGAGATGTAAAATAGTTATCCCATTAGGACTTGGTGTGTCAGTGTATGATCACCCTCTGGCCTCCGGCCATCGGGGTGATCTTACACTGACACACATTGCGTCCTCATGGGATAACTATAACTTACATCCCAGCTCCTTTGTTCTACCAGGGGTGATCTGAGCCGGATCAGATCATATCAGATCACCCCAGCTTGAGTTTCTTTGTTTTGCATGCTTTCCTTTGTTTTGTAACATTTTGGCGGGAATGTCTAATCCACAATAATACTTAGAATTATTTATTGAGAAAAGACACACTTTCAAACTTTATGTAGAAAAATCCACTGTCTATGCTGGGATTCGAACTCAAGACCTTTAGCATATTAACCCACGACACATACCCCTAGACCGAGACGACTGGATACCAACTCTCAGTAATTTAACATATTTAAAGGAAGCATGATATTTTCATAAGTGGGGCGAGTTGGCAGACCTTTATTCAGTGGGATTTTAACCCTTTTCATAAATAAGGCGAGTTGTCAGACTGATTGTTCAATGGGATTTTATTCATAAGTGGGGTGAGTTGTTAAACAAGAGTGGGGCGATTTTTTAGAAAGTGGTGATTTAGTGTGGGCCGATTGGCCAGTGGGGCGAGTTGACATGGTTTCATATTTAAACATCGTGTTCGGGGGACATAAAGGGTATATATTATAACAGTAATATATAAAGTATATTATAATAGTTGTGTGGCGTTCTAAACTAGATTTTATGAATTGTAAATGGTTTTTCGTCTAATCTAAAACAGCTGGGATGTAAAATAGTTATCCCATTCGGACTTGGTGTGTCAGTGTAAGATCACCCTCTGGCCTCCGGTCATAGGGGTGATCTTAGACAGACACACCGCGTCTTCATGGGATAACTATTACTTACACCCCAGTTCTATTGTTATACTTCATCGTTTCTATTTCTGGAACAAGTGTAAATTGAATAGATAGCAAAGATCTATTGTTACGAATAAGACAGACTCGGGATACGGCGTGTCTGGATAAGAAACCCCGACGGCCGGACCTATTCCTCGGTGTATAACTATTACTGATAGTACTGATCTGTTAATCGTTGTTTAACTATACTCTTTAACCTATCACTTTTGATCATTATATTTACAACTAACTGATCGTTCCATAAACTAGGACCTGTATCACCAAAAATAGATTTTACATATTGAGTCCACTTGAATTTGGTAGGATTATTTTCATGTAATTTAATCATAAGTCTAAGAAGGATATTTCCAAGTTTACTCTCTGCTTTAACAGTTCTGCACCAGAATGATGCCATCCTAAGTTTTATAGAGATATCCAAAGGAACCCGACCCAATTTCCCGTAAACCATAAAATTTGGTGTACTATTCCGAACACCGAGAATATTCTTACAGAACTGCAAAGGCCTTTTATCAACCTTCTGTTTATTTTCTAACCCTCCCAAAAAAACAAACTCTGATGAATATAACAATATAGGTGCGATTACAGAATCGAAAAGTTGTAACTGAATATCAATATTTCTGTAGAGAGCAAACAAATAGGACTAAATTGATATTTTGTGGGGAAATCTCAATTGTTTTTTTTTTTCATTAATTTGACAATAATTTTGCCTTTCCGGCTGCATGATATTTCATGTAAATAACAATTAATTTCCTTTTTGTGGTCAAGAGTCACTTCCTGCTAATTATGTGGTGACACAAAATATATAGAACGAAATAGGAATTATAGAATTATGTTTATGGCTGTATAAGCAACATGCAAACTATATTGATCTATTTCATTGTGTATCAACTCGGAGGTTTGTGAATTTTTACCTTTGCATGCATACTGAATATAATACTGATGTCATTCGAGAGAAATAGGTAGGGCCAATTTCTCCTGAATTTAATTTACACCAGGGCTATTTTCTAGAATTCCTTTAATCTCTTCTAGAATTAACAGTTTCATTGATGAGCGGCGGAACCAGGGTTTAAGTAAAGGTTGGAGTAATATCAGATCAATATATATATTGCCAAGTGGAGCGATGCGAAAAAAAAATTTGACGATTTTATGCTAAAAATAATATATTTTCCCATCAAAAGAGGGTGGAAACCCTCTACACCCCTCTGAATCAGTCACTGTTGATTGATATATAAGTACTTTAAGGTTTTAGCAAAAATTTGGCGTAATTCCGAACATTAATATGTTTAACCCCGCGGCATTCTGTATGTGCCTGTCTTAAACCAGCATAATGTAATCCAGTGGTTGTCGTTGGTTGTTGTCTGCAATATTTGTTTGTTACTTTGTTTTTACGGTTTTCTCATTTAATTTGCTTTTATTTTTGTTATGCTGAAGCCTTTTGTAGCTTACTATACGGCATGAACTTTGGTCTTTGATGAAGGCCTTAATTACGGTAGCATGTATTTCTGGTGGATATTTGTATAAATGGCAATCATACCTCATTTCCAATTTTATATTGATCGTATGAATTTCAAATTTGTAACTTGGGACAGAATTGGAGGAGAAACATCACTCGATTAAAGCTCACCTTGTCAACGTATCTAACTAAGGGTGATTCTTATATAGGTATAATTACATTGCATGTATGTTTCACTATGATACGTTATTTTGATTGGTTAACAGCAATCTCGCATCCTTCTGAAATTAACATTCATTACACAATGAAATGTAACATTCATGATAACACGAGGTCCCACAATAAAGTGCACAGGTAAATTAAAGAAAAACTTGATAGAAATCGTGTTTTCATGATCCTAGCTATAAAATGTAATTATAAGTATTGAATGCTTCTTTCTGTAACTTCATAGGGTGGTAAAAGCATTGACCGTGCGCACATTTTTAGAATGAAGCGTTTCCGCGCTTCATACAAAATGTACTTCGGTCAACGCTTTTACACCCCAATGAATTTACAAAAAGAAGCATTCAATTCTTAAATAATACATTTGTTTTATTTGTTGTTCGTTATATACCTTTGGTTGACTTTAGGCAAGAGCTTTTAAAGGAATCTTATGCATAGTAAATCTTTGTTTTAACACTTAATGTGATCGTTCCCTCAGTTGAAAAAATACTTACAATATTGTTTTTGCTTCAGCGTCACATGGAGACCACATACTTCACAAGGTATATGCTCAAATTGGAAGTGCAGTAATTTTATCATGTGAGATCTCAAAAGGGGCCTCAACACAGAGTTGGAGGAAAGGTTTAATAGTTTTAACACAAGGAGTTGAGATAAACAGAAACTTCCACAGCTACGGAAGACTTGAAGTTGTTATTGATGAAAAGTTTTATAATCTTAAGATATACAACATATCTAAATATGATTTTGATACTTACTGGTGCGAGATGCAAAAAGACAACTCTATAAGAGCTGAAGGAACAACTTTAATTAATTTAGGTATTTACATAAATTGAATATAATTAGACTTGATTTTGAAGTATAATTTAAGATTCCTGTTATTACAGCGCCACCGTAGAAAACCCTTTTTTAGTGGTATAATTCACATTTGTCATAAGGGGGTCTTTCATAGCTTACTATATATACGGTAAAGGTTTTGCTATTTTTTTAGCCTTTCGATGACCTATAGTTATATAAGATATCTGATAAAGTATATAAGATATCTTATAAAAAAAAATTATATATAAAATATCTTATATACTTAATAATATATCTTATATAGTTTATATGATATCTCATATAGTTTATAACAACTGAAAACTACCAACAAAAAGATTGAGGCATCATACCTCCGTTTTTAATTTCCGAAAAGAAAGTAAACATATTTAAAAAAAAAAATGAAGCTTTATGTTTAGAAATCATAGATTTGGAGAATGAATTAGAAACACGAGTAAAAAGATCCAACACCGACAATGAAGAGTTTTTGAATCATCAATATCTACACATAGCTAATAAAAACATCTAGAAAAGAGTATATGAATGAGCAGTTTCACTGGCAAGCAAATTTTACTGTTTTCTTGTCCGAAAATTGGACCCCTTAACCAAAATTCGACATCCGAAATCTTGTCGTACCTCTATGTATGAAATAGAACAGTAATGCATAGAAATTTTAAAAAAATCTTCAAGAAAGAAACGATGCAGGCGTTGTACCGAGAAGATTATCTTACTGATAGACACAAATAGACAGAACCAAAACAAAGTATCCGAGTTTTTGAAAAGTGTAGTATAAACTTTTTTTCAAGCCTCTTTCACATTTAAAAAAAAAATATAGCAATAAAAAATTATTAAAGGGGTATTAGCTACGAGATATAAAAAAAATATGATTTATTTTGTTCAATCATTAATTAAAATGAAATAGTGAAACTAATTCGCTTTTAGCAGCCAGTTTGGTTCAATTTTGTCAAATTAAGCAAAGAAACATCGCTAATGAATTATTCACTTGCAAGTAAATAGTTCGACCTCATTAAATCAGTATTCAAGTGAACTTCAATTGAACCCCTTAGTTAGAGATGGGTTACGCATGAACTAGGCGTGTTCAGCTATTAAAAGGAAAGGAATGTCAACATTGGAAGTGAAACAAGGGTAAACCATTTGATTGACTGATTCGATCTACAAAAACTCATTCATCCGGGTGCGGGATTTTCTCGCTGCATTGAAGACCCATTGGTGGACTTCGGCTGATGTCTGCTCTTTGGTCGGGTTTTTGTCTCTTTGACATATTCCCCATTTCCATTCTCAATTTTATATATTATACAGGTAAAAACGATTATTTACACATTGTTTTAACCTATAATATGAAATCAAACAGACCTAGAAAAATCCAATTGCACGAGTTCGCTATCTATTTATATATATAGGTTTATGTGTATGGGTTATATGACCGTCGGCAGTCGTCGGTCACATCGATGGTTAATTAGATGGCGTCTAGATTAAAATACACACGAAATGCTGATACATACTATCAAATTTATGCATCGTAAATTGTTTATTTTAGACTTTTTTAAATTTGGATATACGTTTTAGTATGTTATAAGTCGAATATGAGAATTTTAGTCAAATCGGTGAACATGAATTTGACAGCTAATGCCCCTTTAAATATTTCCTGATTTTAGAATATGAAATGCCCGTATCCGTGTAAAAAGTTTCTTTTTCGTTACTAAGTAATAAACTATACGGAGCTGCTACATGATTCTTGATTTTTATGTTTTGGACTGATAATTTGAAATCGGTATAATACCCTAGTCCAAAAAGAATCAAAGACCGAACCGCTTTTCCAAGGGTCATTCAAAGTCATAAGTAGGAGCGGAATTTGCGCAATCGATAAAATAAAACATGAAACGTAACAATGGCTGTCACGGATCCATAAAAACCAGGGTTAGACCAGGTGTGCCTGCAGATTAAGCGTCTACTGCCTCTCTAGAGACACCCGCCGTGATGGTCATGGTCGAATCCGGTGCATCAAAAAAAAATTGCATACATAAAACTAACTATTACACGTAGGATTGCTACATATACAAATATCTCCATGGTCTTTTCTCTTCGTATATTTAAAGCACTCGGACTTTCCGATGATTGAAGGTAAAAACCAATCAAAAATTAAAATTTACGTTTAACGAAACGTTGAAGTCCCCTCATGTACCCATATTTCATTGTAAATAGTCATTTGACCCTATTGTGAGCATTTTTTTCCCCATTTTTTTTTATATTGGTGGCCATTTTGAAAATGGTTGATGATCATAAAATTTTGATGATGGACGGCATTCGCCACATTATAATCTACTTGGAAACTTAATTTCGTCAAAATCGGAGTATGTTTGTATTTTGGCAGCCAACTTGAATTCAAAATGGCCGCCATATTTATAAATTTCTCAAGTCCAACAGAAGAGGACAAAGAAAGGCCAAAATTGCCTAGACGTTGAGGAGGAACATTCGATAATACTAGTACGTTAGACGAGCGTCGCTTTATCGTTTAACGGTTAGACAAACGTTGTACACATTCGTTTTGATCAGCGTCCTTATAATACATTCCGACGCATTTTAGCGTGCAAAAAACTACTATATAGCGCACATAAACGTGTGTATAACTTACTTCTGGCGTTCGTCTAACGTGTGTCTATCTTATTAACAACACGTTGGCACACGTTAAGGTTACACGATACCGAATGACGTTACGCCACGAGTTATCGTTCCTGCTGTTGTCGACATCTTTGAAATTGACGTCAAACGTAAAACCTGATGTTTTATAATAACTTAGAACGAATCAAACAAACAATTTGCCTCAGTCTGGTAGTTGAAAGATAAATGTTTCTTTATTTCAAATTTGCAAATATATATGATTCTGATTCTCGCACGTCGGCACATGTTGGCGCAATGCATTATAGTGTTACAGGGCCATTACAAAATTATGTTTTGGCTATCGGAAAAATATTGTCTTTGAATAAGATATTTCTATATTTACGATATACGTCGAAAAGACACAAATGGGCAAATGTGCTTCGCGCATTGCTAAAACCCATCTTCAAGAAGCAGTATCCGGTTAAACCCACCAGTAGTAATTGGGACTGTGTCCCAAATTATTTTTTTTTTAAATTGCAGCCATATGAATCGGCATGCCTTCATGATCTCATATGAAGAAACTCATGGGCAATATCTTTGCCTTTGATTGGTTGAATTCTTCTCAAAGGCTCTCAAAACGGAGATGAATATGTGAACAGTTAATTGACAGACGATGGGCGCCAAGTGATGACAATAAATAAATGAGTTAAATCTCTTATAAGCTAGTAAAATATCTACATTAAAACAGTTTAATGCAATATAGTGCATGATATTGTATTGATTAAGTTTTCTTAAGCATTGCTAACATAAGAACCCTATACGCTTCCGTAGATATCATCTTATAAACTATGAAAGATATCTTATAAACTATATAAGATATCTCATATAGTTTATAAGATATCTTATATACTTTAAAGGATATCTTCTTAAGTTTCTAAGATATTCTAAAGTATATAAGATATCTTATAAATATGTTTTATATAAGATGTCTTATATACTTTATTAGATATCTCATATATTTGATAAGATATTTTATATAGTTTATAAGATATCTCATATAGTTTATAAGATATCTTATAAAATTTATCTTAAAAAGAAAATTATATGAGATATCTTATAAACTATATAAGATATCTTATAAACTTATAAACTATATAAGATATCTTATAAACTATATAAGATATCTTATAAACTATATAAGATATCTTATAAACTATATGAGATATCGTATAAAGTTTATTAGATATCTTGAAGTTCGAATAAATAGTAAAACGGATTGTCATACATAGAGAGAGTTTGTATCTCCCTTTGATACCATTGAAATACCTCTTTTGCAACGAACTCAGCTCTTTTGTATTGTAATGTCCGATATAAGAACAGAAGTTTCCGATATAGGGCGCATGGTTTCTTTGAAAACTAGTAGCCCAAACAAAACAAAACACAAATATAAAACATATAAACATAAAGACAGACAAATAATCAACAGCATAAAGTATAAGGAAACAAAATTGCACTCACAATAATATCATAACAAATGAACTTGAAAGGACGGCGGTGGGGAGTTGTCTCATTGGCAATCAAACCACATCTTCTTATTTTTATATAGAAAGGACGGCTTCATTACCGCAAATTTCATAATTTCACAGTAATCTGTTGTAAATAGTATATAAACCATTATTCTATATTCTTAATTAAATGTTCTTAGCAATAGACAGTCCCAACCTCAGATACAATCTTATCCACCATTAACTTAAGCCAAAACCTATATCAGAATATGCCCTACATTCTTGTAATGCACTTCTGTTCACGTCTAATAAATGCTAAAGCCAGACAAGCTTTTTGGAAAACTATTGTCCCATTTATATTCATTGCTATAACGTAAATAATCCTGGTCATGCTGTTTGAAATCGAATGATGGGTGATACATATGAATAAAAGCAGGTTTTGAGTACAACTTTGATGAGAAAGCAACTCAATGGCACAAAAAAACATTAGAACATCTATGGCCGTCATATGATCAAAATACGGACTCAAACCTTAAATGCAGTATATACAATATACGAACTCTAAACCGTCTAGGTATGAAACAGGCTGTAAATAAATTTAAGAGAGACTATATTAAACATCTCCCATTAAAACCAAATGTGTTTAAAGCGTGACAAATGCGGAGCAGAAGATGCTTATTAATCTTCCATGTCACTGTTTGGTCTAAATAGTACTGCAACTGACCTCGAAAAAGACGCTTAGTTAACGAGTTTAATGTTCCGGAATAACACACGGCTGCAAATTGTTTTAAACGATAGAATGATATCTATATTTTAATTTTTGTCTGGTCGTAAAAAGTTTCTTTGGTCACATTTTTGTATTCTAGCCTTAAATGGGGTACCCCGCAATTTACGGTTTTGGGTACTCATCTTAAAATCCAAAAACACAATTATTTCATTAAATTTCCGGCTCTTTTTGTAAATATTTTCGATGCACATATCATCAAGGATCAGCGGAATGATAGAGACATAAATATAATACCATCATCGAGTAAAACTTTCAAACTTGAAAGTTGGCAATTTTTAGATGGAAATTTTACGCATTTTTCTTTGAAAACTAAAAACATATGATTAAAAAACAGTATTTGACATTTGAGAGGACAACATATGTTATTGCAATACTGCATGCAAATTTTGTTGGGCAAAGTTCAAACAATTTTGTCAAAAACTAAAAAATAAAAACATTATTAATACCCTTTTTTCTTACGAAAATTTCATATCCGTCAATCAACTCCATCATTTATTTATTCCTTCACAATGAATTTAATAGTTTCGATGTGATTATGTTCATTTTCGTGGATAAGTTGATTAATTTTGAGTTTTTTGGAGTGGAATTGATTATATATATTAGTTCTTTCGTGTATTTTCTGTAAATAAGTTATATTTGTGTTGATAAAATTTCCTTCGGATAAGATGTTTTTCCGGATAATGACTAACTGCGGAAGTCCTTTAAAATTTGATAATACAAATCCCAAAAGTAGAAGGCTTGATATTGTGTGGAAAAAAATACATTTTATGTCAATGTTCAACCTCAGAGCAATTGATATTCATGCAAGCGATCTGTAGTTTTGCAGAGATTTGGTGTGTGACAAGGTGATGCTACCACTAACTTCTCTTGATAGTCTGCTTTCTTTGGACGAAAGAGTTGTGAATCGTCAGTGATGTTATAAGACTTACACCAGAAGACAAAATTGTAGCGTCTTTAAATTATAAACAACAGAAAGCCAAATGTGTGATCAATCTGATCCACATGTATCCTCACAAACTGTCAGTTTTATACGATCTCGCACAGTTTCCTCCTTGTAGTTGGGATATGAAAACATGTTTTTTTTTGTGTAAAAGCAAAACTTTTAAAGAGGACAGAAAACAACACAATATTGAGTCGCCTGAACGTGTTGAGTCTTTTCAGGTGTGCTAATGCTAGTAATCATTTATCCATGGTAAAGATAATCGCGAGTACAGATTTATTTTCAAATGCATAACCATTACTCATTGAAGTCAACACTTGTGCAATCAGGTAAAACAGTTACTGAAGAATTTGAATTTGAACTTGCTTTCAATTCACTGATAACGATTGTTAATGATGATATGTTCTTCCAGAAAAAAGGCCTTTCTCATGTAGCACATCCTCGACATATACCGATTACTTTTACCCAAGAATGTCTCTGATGCTTATCCAACTGCCAAACACCAGAACAAACTAGCTATAGTTATTATGACACCTTAAAATTCAGACACAGCGGGGACAAGGGATGTCAAATATAGAGTTTAGCTCTGAATTCACTATAGGGGATGCCATATCTGCTGCAGGAAAATTAAATTATATGTTCGTGTTGCTTAGTCTTTAGTTTTCTATGTTGTGTTTTGTGTACTGTTGTTTGTCTGTTTGTCTTTTTATTTTTTTAGCCATGGCGTTCCTTTTCGATCTATGAGTTTGACTGTCCCTCTGGTATCTTTCGTCCCTCTTTTAAGACTTTTAGAATTACAGCAAGGTGTGTCTGAAGATATCAAGGATACATTAAAGGAGGATCAATTACTCCACTCTGCCGCTAACGCTCTTTGGAGCTCTGTCCTCGTCGGGTGCTTCTATGAAAAAGAATGCCCGCATCGCTTTTCAAATTTATTTGTTAATTAATTGATGAAAAATCACACAAAGGCTCTTCTGAACCGTGTGTTGTCCCTAAAGATAAAAAAAATCGTAAATGTATCGCTATTACAAAATCAATCGTTTCTGTAGCAAAATAAACATTCGCCCCATTACATTTGGGATTGGCCGTGCAGTTATATCATGAATATGGTAATATGGGTCACGAACATCGATAGCAACTTTTTACTCGCATGGCTTTTGTGTTTCCTATGCAGATGTAAGACTTTACCTGACAAGCATTCCCATGCACGAGTTTGACCAAATTAAGACGGTATTTACGCTCCAGATGGCATTGTTTCAAAACACCAAAGGGGTTGTGGGGGTGGGGGGTGTTTGATGATTTTCAAAATTTTCCTGTTTAGTCAGAAACGTTTGACCATCAAGTTATTCCATTTTAGACCGGATATAACAACTCTTTCTGACTTCAGGCTTGAATTTTTTGCCGGAAGAACAAAAATGGATAAACCCCAACATTTTTCAAGGGACAAATGTCATCAGATTACTTACAAGAATAACTTTGTACCTGCACAGGTAAATCTTTGTGCTCAAAAGCTGTGTTTGCTTTGTACAAACTCTGTCCTGCACCGAACTTGTTTTTGTCAAGAAAAGGAAGTGTGTTGTAATGCTAATACGCATACTGAATCCGCATACGATTACGAAGAGATTGATTCATATCCTTATTTAATGAAGACTAAAAGTATTGTATGGAGCTTTAATTTTGATTCACAGGTGTTATGGAAAAGTTATATAAGGGTCTTGACCAATTTTAAATTACAACATTAGCAAATTTGCATTACATTGTATTTTCCATTACTTCCATAAAACATTTCTACACTTTTTTACTAGGATAATCGTACTAAGAGGTTCATGCACCAAACTGAGTTTGTTTTACACTGAACCAACCGCTAAATCAATGCAAGTCACAGTTATGAATTTTTTTTAAACCTCGCATTCGCCTCGGTTGATTGTATTTTTTATGTGTTATAAATGATCTGTCCAGACTTTGCACATACACAATAATTATTTATCTATACATAGATACTAATTTCCCCCAAATTCAATATCTTTTAGATGCAAAATTAAAAACACTGTTTCGGCGCTTGAATTTTGTTTTTGTCAAAGATAGAAAAAATATTAAAATAATTCGATTATCTGTTGTATTATTGTTCATAAAAAAATTCCGTTATATGCTGTAGTGAAAAATTATAAGCAATATGAAAGTTAATGGATCTGATAAGGTTAAGGCCACTTCTACTTTTGCTATGTCATAAATGGAAAATAATCAAAAGAATCCAGATCAACGCCATTTTGTAATGGAAGCTCTTCATATAAATAGTCAAATTTGTCGTTTTAACATTCTTTGCAGCATATGCATATGATTGAAACATTTTTGTAGCATTCTAATGAATATATATAAGAAAATTTCCCCTTTTTGTCCTTGTGGTTAAAATATCGATATTTATAGGCCTGACCTTTGACCCAAATTTCACAAAAATGTGACCACTCTGGATTTTTACGACCAAACGTTTCTTATCGTACACGTTTTCCTCTTTCCATTGATATATAAATTAGGTGTGTGTTCTTCCGGAACATTAAAGTTTAAAAAAATGAACTCTGGTTGCAGTACTAAAAGTGGTGTAATCAATTACCTTCATATTTGTGGACAGATACTTGTTTTTAGTGTTATAGTTATAAGTACAGTGAACCTTAATGGGAATACTACCACAGGTGAAATACTAGACATACAACAGCAATTAATACAAAAAAAAGAAATCAGAAAAGGAATTACCTCCCAACACCAACAAGAGTGCAAACGCTGAAATATCTCGCCTGCTTTACTGACCATGATCGATTTTATGTTGAAAATCTTAAAGATAAAGGTTTTACTATAAGTATCATATAAACTTAATCATCAATGAGTCATGCCAGTGAGGTCAAGGTCAGATAATACATGCTAGACAGACATATACAGCTAACAATCATCCCACGCACCAACTATAGTTGACATATTGCTTATAGTATCTAAGAAAAAACTTAACCAGAAACTCTTAACATTGACCAGTGAACCATGAAAGTACGGTCAAGGCCAAAGGTTATATACATATCAGACTTATATGTACACCTTACAATCATTCCATGCACCAAATATAGTTGCCCAATTTCTCATAGTATCTAAGAAACCGACTCATCACGGAAAACTGAACATTGACCAATGAGCCATGAAAATGAGGTCAAGGTCTCATGTAACCTGACAGACAGACATGTACACCTTACCATCTTTCCATTCACTAAGTATAGTTGACCTATCGCTTGTCGTATTTGAAAAAACAGACCAATACCCAAAAACTTATTATTAACCAATGAACCATGACAGTGAGGACAAGGTCAGATGAATCCTACCAGACATATGTACACCTAACCATCATTACATTTGCTAATAAAGTTGACCTATCGCTTACGTATTTGAAAAACAGACCAAAACGCAAAATCTTAAAAATTGATCAGTGAACCATGAAAAAGGTGTCAAGGTCAGACGAAACCTACCAGACTGACAGGTACACATTGCAATCATATCATACACCACATATTGTTGACCTACTGATTATCGTATCTGAGAAACGTACCTAATCAGTGAATAATAAAGATGTATATTCTTTTCAACATTATTTAGGCAATATGCAAGAAAGATTTTCATTTATATTATTTGTTTGTATCTATAAAAGTGAATACTACATATATATAGCTAACGTGTAGATATTGTGTTCCTACTGCGAATTATATTTGATAATTGCAATTTTTCAGACAGGCATACTATTAGTACTTTACGTGATTCCTCCCCGTCTGAAACAAAAGACAGTACAGGTAGGTAAAGAATATTGGCTACATATATTTAAAAGGAATAATAGCAGTGTTAATCATTTGCAAATACCTTAAACAATAGTCTATTCCCTCTTTAGCACAGTTTAAAAAATAATTGCACATAACACATAACCATAACATCTAATTTGATTGCTTTTAGAATTGAGTTTTTAAGTTTTCATCATAACATTGTTCTTTGGTAACTATTCACGATAATTCATCATATTTGGCATTGGGATTGGTTATGAAAAGCTAATTCTGGCATATGTCATACTGACATGACCTAATTTTCATGCTACAATGGTCTGGGTGAGTTTTTAGGATTGTGTCTATTCTTGTTTAAGATGTCAATAATATTTGATAAATGGACTGGTTATGAAAAACTAATACTGTTATTCTTTTTTAACCACAAACTATTTCATTATGTTAGATTATAATCATTGTAATTATTCCGAGCATCTTGGGCATCATGATCAGCAAATAGCATAGATTCGTTTGTTTGGTTTTGAGGAGCGTGTCCGTTTGGTATACATAAAGTCATACGACTTTGACCTTCTTTCACACCCATTGTCATATTAAATTTCATGATAAAAACTGTATAATTCCTCAGTAGCTAAACATGATAGGTTAACAAAAGTTTGTGAGTGGATTGTTGGTAAATAGTGTATGTTTGTCTGACTTGAGACGTATGGTCTTAAACTCATGAAATAATATAAAGTCTGTAAATTACAAAGTATAGATGATAGGTTGAAAACATTTAATGTATGAGATGATAATGTGTACATAAACCTTTTTGTCCGGAAACTTTCACTTGACATAGACCCCATTTTCAGGGTAAATTGTCTTTAAGAATAAATCATTTTAAGATTGATGTAGGTGAGACACTTATTGAGTCGACTTTTGTTTTAATTTCGTGAAGATATACTGTACGGCCCAAGTGGATAAATAATATTTTTTTCTTTTTAATACAGGAATTCATCTTGGTCAAAGCTTCTACTACGGTATTTCTGCAACAGGAATTGGGGTTATTTGTCTGTCTATTGGTTGCATTTATTTCATTAATAAATGTAGAAAAACAAATGCGAAGAGAAAAGAACGAAGTTCAGATGACAATGAAGATAAGATGGACGTGTTGAATGGAAATAGTACAAATAACCCTACGACAAAGGAAGCAGTTCCTGGAAATGATGATCATGCATCACCACACTATGAAACGATTAACGAAAATACATTGATAGAAATGTCAAATTTTAAATCGCACAAACATCCAAATCAATACATGCCTTTAATTGTGAGTGAAATGGAAGGCTTAAACAATTACAGTACACCAACAACTGAAAACAAACTAATGTAAAGTGGGTCCCAGAATTCATATACATTTTAACAGTGAAAGTCCTGGTACAGATGATCTGTCCTTTAAAGAGCTCATCAGACCTCAAGTTTTGATTGTTATTGTATACTGACTCAAAATAAAATTCACTAACTTACTAAATAAATTTACTTACTATCAATACTGAACTAGAAATTTAAATGTTGGTATTGTCTAATTTTGTAACTTTGTATATATGTAAAATAATTAAATTAATTAATGAAAACATTGCAATAACCCACACAAAATTCAAAATGATTAAAATCACTTCAGATTAAATATATCATTAGATTGTAAAACTAGTTAGATGTCAGTATTTATTTTTGATGCGGTTGAACCACAGTCGTAAATGCATCAGCTATTTGTCAAACTAATTAATCTCTATATATCTTCCAATGTGGTATTTCCACTGATGCTAGTTATAGATGCTATACATCCGATTATTTTGACATTTTGCACCAAATTAACATTCAAAGGTTTGCATACATGAAACATGATAACAATTATTAAAAGAAATTCTATAGTGTCAGCGTCCTTTAAGAGGGAACGGCAATTTAACTTCTTATAAGTTTTTCATTTATATAAAACTGAAAGTGTTACTCTCTTGGGTGTTACTAGAACTAAACGGATGCTTATCAGGTTTCATAAGTATTCTAAGATAGGGAAATATATCTAGAGGTCCGTTTTTTGTTAATTGATATATGACGGGGTATATATTTTTGATTTACAAAATATATGAAAAGGGTGGGGTACTTGATGTCTCAGCTGCTCACCCCTACCAAAGAAAGATCGAAGTGACTACATGGATTCTCCCTTCATTACCAAGGTTTAAATACATCCTCTTGAACATGAGAAATAAAGCTTGATAAAACAAACCAAAGTCTTGATCAATGGACAATGCTCAGATTATTGTACCATGCATGGGGATATATCAAGTACAAAATTGAGATAATGGTTAGAAATATTTACTGGTGAAATAGAGAGTGACAAGTATGTTCCTCAATTTTATGATAGATTTTTGTTTGCTTGACATCCAGTTATAAATATTCCTCTTTCCCATTTGAATAACAAAAGTGTATATCAATTTAAGAAACATGTAAAGATGTATTTTATTTAAATTGCAGCAATGATAGCACATTAAAATGAATGATTTATATGTAACATGATCTTTGATGATTGCGATAAAAAAATGAAATTACATTCTAGCATCAAAACTTTGTATTTGTAATACATTGGTCTACTCCTAAACCAGAACACTATCTGGACTTTGTCACTGGTTAATAGTACTCTTGATTTCTGGAGATGAATCTTGAATACATTTTTTCTTCCTCTCTAATGTTATAAGGTATTGATTTTCCTGATTTGACATTACAATATTTCATCCATCTCAGTCCCAGTATTTTATAACACCACCATCCCATCCACATGATGCCACTTTTGAGGTTTCGTGAGGATGCCACAACACAGTGGAACACACATCATCGTGAGCTTTGAATTTTGTATAAAGTTTTGTAACAGTTGTTTTCCAGTCCCATACATAAAGTTTTCCATCTGCATCTCCTGATATCACATAACTGAAATAAATAAATAATAAGTACATTTGAAACCATCAACTCAAACAGGTGTGATTGGCTGTCTGGAATTTGCAGTGGTCTTTTTCTCATGTAAAAGGCCTCATCTTGACTTTGAGATTAAATACAGCAGTAAAAAAGCTGTTCCTTTGCTTTGGTTTTGTCAAGTGCATGTAGTGGTCATTTTTTGATGGTTAGAGAGTATGTGCAGTCTCTTTTTCAACTAAATGCCAATAATATTTATTGTGCAGGAAAATTAATTTTTATTCCATTCACATCTTGTTGAGATTTGGGATGATTTAAGTTGAACATATATGGAACCAATATTTGTCTTTTGATGGAGACCTTATGATGACCCTTACATTTCTTTTTTTTGTTTTAATGTTTTGTTGGGTTTCTGTTTTGTTGACTTAAATGCACATCTGTTTTTCATATGTAAAATAATATTCCTGTTTCACTTTGTGTATAAAATACAAAATAATGGGTTTTTGATTTGGTGTTTAAAGTCCAGTGGCAATTATTGCATGCAAATCAGGATGAGAACATGTTCATGAAATTCGGACATGAACCCGCTTTGTAGTTGACCAGTAGGCTGAGCTAGATTTTAGTGCTTTTAGTTTCTTGTAATTTTTATCAAATTTAAGAAATATTTTCACATAAATAATGTAATCGCTAATATATAATCTGTTTTCAGACAAAATATACACATTTGCTATTAAAGTCATATAAAATCTTAAATTTAAAAAAACAGTTGAATAAGTTTTATATACTTTAGTCTTATACCTTTACTCTTAAAGAAGTGAAAGTGAACTTTTTTTCAAAGAACATCCTTTATATTATCAAAATCTTCATAAATGTACCGATATTGAATTGTTGACTTCCCAGTCACTAATTCGCCGTATGCAGTGACCTTAACTACGAGACCTCTCGTTATAACTTCGGCCACCGCACAGCGCAAATGCAAGGGGAAAACCGTGATGCAAGAATGTAAACACACGTGCTCTTGAAGGAAAATAGAAATAACAGATTCTTAAAGAACAAATTTAATACAACAAATCATTTAACAGTCGTCAAGGTATAGTTTGATTAACAAATGGGAACCCATGGAAAATATGAAAATAAATGCTATGGCTCTTTATAATTATTTATCTGTCACGCTTTCCACGTGCTCTGTTTTTATTGTTTATCAATGTCACGATCCGGTAAACTTCGGCAACAAACTCGAAAGTTAATTAGCTTGCAAGCAACAACCACTGAATGGAATATCATTTGTCGATATTACGTGATTGATGTGTAATAAATATATACACAACATGCATGCAAAATTTAGTTTAGTTTATACTGCACTCTTTCTATTTGAGCAGTCAAAATGCGTTGACTGTATATTTCTATGTCACATACAGCTAATGACCCAATAACACTTTTCCTCATGAATATTTAAATAGTAAGGCCATAACTAGATTTTAATATTCATGACGACCGCTTCAACCTGTGGAACGACTCAAACTTATTTCTTTTACAATTGTTGGAAAAACATATTTCACTTGTTAATATTTTTTGTCTAAAATCTATAAATCATTATGTTTTATGCTTATTGTTGATATTTTAGTCCATACTCAAACGAATTCGTTCACCATCGATTGGTTTCAACAGGTAATGTACATTTCATTGTACCAGACTCAAGCTAGCAGCCACTCGCTAGCAGCCACTATGCTAGCAACCAGTATTTGGATATGTCTATGAACCCAAAAGTTGCATGAGATTCAAACGTACTCAAAATGTTTTTTTGATATATAACCACTATAGTATCAGTTTTTAATAACTAATGAAGCAGTCGAATACACATTAATAACTATAAATTTTTTAAAATGCTGTCAACATTGCTTCATGGAATTAAATTTGACATCAGAAATTATTTTGTGATATTGTGTCAAACTGCTTTCCATATTCTCGGCATCCTGTCAAATAGTTCCCGAAAAATAAAAATTGTTCTGCATTACAAAAATAGACAGTTGCACTCGTGCTGTAATATCTTTTTAAATCAAACAACGCTATTTAACGAAACATTCTATTTCTAACCGAATGGATTTCGCTTACTTTTGACTAGAAGAAAGGTTTATTTTTTGTGCACAAGTTATGGTGGGCAAGGAAATTATTTTTACCTATTTAAAAAAAATCCGTATTGTACCCCGATTTGGAATTTTGGTCAAGCAGTCCGTAGATCACAAGCTTTCGTATCAACCATAGTTTCGAAAAAAGTATTGCCGTATGGAATTTTTTATTAACTGATCCGTATGGTTGAGGTAGGGTGTCCGACCCCAACTTTGGACCTGATTTAAAAAAAAAGTAAGCCTAACCACACCCTGGATTTTTTCTCAAGTAAACCCATCTACTTAGCTTCACTTTGCACCTAGTTGCGAAAAAAGTATTGCCGTATGGAATTTTTTATTAACTGATCCGTATGGTTGGGGTAGGGTGTCCGACCCCAACTTTGGACCTGATTTAAAAAAAAAGTAAGCCTAACCACACCCTGGATTTTTTCTCAAGTAAACCCCAGCTACTTAGCTTCACTTTGCACCTAGTTGCGAAAAAAGTATTGCCGTATGGAATTTTTTATTAACTGATCCGTATGGTTGGGGTAGGGTGTCCGACCCCAACTTTGGACCTGATTTAAAAAAAAAAGTAAGCCTAACCACACCCTGGATTTTTTCTCAAGTAAACCCCAGCTACTTAGCTTCACTTTGCACCTAGTTGCGAAAAAAGTATTGCCGTATGGAATTTTTTATTAACTGATCCGTATGGTTGGGGTAGGGTGTCCGACCCCAACTTTGGACCTGATTTAAAAAAAAAGTAAGCCTAACCACACCCTGGATTTTTTCTCAAGTAAACCCCAGCTACTTAGCTTCACTTTGCACCTAGTTGCGAAAAAAGTATTGCCGTATGGAATTTTTTATTAACTGATCCGTATGGTTGAGGTAGGGTGTCCGACCCCAACTTTGGACCTGATTTAAAAAAAAAGTAAGCCTAACCACACCCTGGATTTTTTCTCAAGTAAACCCATCTACTTAGCTTCACTTTGCACCTAGTTGCGAAAAAAGTATTGCCGTATGGAATTTTTTATTAACTGATCCGT